CTTGCAGGCCGCAGTGCAGGGCAGATGCCGTGCCGAGTCACGGGAGAGAGATGTGGGGCTGATCCGGGCGAGGTCTGCCCTGGAAGTGCTGCTCGGCGCCCCGGGAACGCCCCACCGCGGCGCCCCCGCCACAGCGTGGCCAAGGAGACAACTGGCGTTTCCCGGTGCCTGTTTCCCCGTGCAGCTGTCTGACAAAACCAGCGTGGGAGACGCTTCCCTGCCTGCGCGCGTGCCAGCCCCCGTGCACAGGGGGTGGGGGGGATGCTGCGGGGGTGGGTGTGAGCCCCCCAACCTGAGCGTGACCCCTCAGCAGCTTCTCTCTGCTAAAACCAGGCTGAGACAAACCTGCCCCCCTCCATCCTGGAGCTGCCGCAGGTTTCAGTTCATTAAGGCTCTGCAAAGCCTTGATGATAACGAGGTGAGCGGCAGAGGTTGGGGAGGGGAAAGGAGGAGGGCTGGGGCTTATCCCCCCCCCCCCCCCCCCCCCCCCCCCCCCTGCTCTCAGGCATGTCCCTGCCCTGTGCCCTGTCCCCTGCTCCCCAACCTCAGGCATGTCCCTGCCCTGTCCTGCCTTCGCTTCCACCTCTAAATGCTTCTGTCCCCCACTTTTGCACAAAAGCGATGAAAACCAAAGCGGCCATTGTTAATGAGGGTGTCAAGGTGGGTTTTGGTGCGGGCGGGGAGCGGGCCTGTTGCACCGCCGTGACTCAACAAACTTCCCAGCAAGGCAAGCCTGGTGCTTTTGCGGGTGGCTTTGAGCTGCAGAGCTGCCACCGGGTACCCAAAGGCACGTGGGTACCAGCGGGCACCTGAATTCTGGGGGGAGAAGAGAGCGGGCACAGGGGGTCCAGAGGAAGGTGCTTGGAAAAGAGAAGGATCCATTGGGAGGGGGGACACGTGCCGGCATGGCTCCTCGATGCCCCGTGGGGAGGGACTGGGTGCTGGCACACGCACGGAATCCTTTCCCTGGGTTCATCGTGGCCGTGGGAGGTGCTGGGAGGAAGAGGTGGGGTGCGGCGTGGCGTTGCCCCTGGGAGACGTGGGAGGCTCCCCGGGTGCTGGAGCCTGATCCGAGGCAGCACAGGAGGGCTTTAGCTAGAGTGGTAACGCAAAATGGGTCAAAAAGGTTTAAAGGTGGGATGAGTCATCCTGGAGGAGGTGAGGGATGCGAACTGGGGGCTCAGGACCCCTGGCTTGGTCTTTTTGGGCGGCTCTGGGGCCTTTCTGGGACAGTCGGCCTCTGGAATGAACTGAGGGACACCAAAGTGCCTGAATTCCCCCAGCGCTCTGGGGCACTGTGGTAGCTCAGCCGTGCCCCTCGTCCCCCGCTCAAACGCAGGCAGGGGCTGCCCATTGCCATCCACGGGGACACCCCGCACCCGCCTGGGTACGGCCCTGAGCAGCCCCCAGGGAGCAGGGTTGGGGCTGATGATCTCCGGGAGGTCTCTGTCCCACCTCCGGCCCCGTCTCTGTGACGGAGGGATGAGTCCCCCCCCTGTGCTGGTCGGAGCCCCCCTGTGCCCCCCAGGACAGTCCCTCCCGTGGGTGCCCCTGGCTGTGCTGCATCCCCCACGGGGCTGAGCGTCACCTTCCCACGATGCTGTACCCCCCCTCCATCCCGCAGCTGCAATAAACAGGAGTTTATTGGGGCTTTCTCCCCCAAAAATTGTTCCATTATCCCCAGGTGGGGAATGTGGCCTTGCAGCATCCCCCAAAACTGGGGCAACCCAAGGGGGGGGTCCTTGTTTCTGGTACTTCCTGGGGGTTATGCCTGGCTGTGGGTGGGGACCCCACAGCACCCCCTGGGTGACAGCACCCACCCACCAGTGATGGTCCAGGATTGACCCGCTTCCCCAAGTGCTGTGGGTGCCGTCACCCCCGGTTTCAGCATCCTCCCCCGGGACCCCTGCCTCCATCCAGAGCTGGGGTCCCGCAGCCATCACCGGCACCAGCTGGGGACCCAGGACC